GTTATCTGTCAGAGAAGATTTCTGTAATTGGTGCTTCAACAACTGTATCGGAAAAATATATACAATTCTTAATATACTTTGTTCATATAAAAATGTTCGAATTCTTCTTGAAACTACACACCTTCTGGTTCATCTGTTACGCTTACTTAAAAGCTTTTAACAAACTATGTTTTAGATGTTTATGCTTTTATCATAATACTACCGATAAAAAAAGAAATACAATGTTATTGATGAAAGTTATATGTACAGATACCAGAGAAAATATTAGAATATTTTTTGCAACAGCATCCATACTAACATAATTGCAATAGGAGCTACATAATGTATCGGTACAGAATAGCTTGTATTTAATAAATCGCCACATTGTGCTCTAAGTGCTGTATACTTCTTCGAGAGCTCTGCCTTTTCTTCGACAAAGGCATTATACTTTTCCTTTAAAATGACTAACTCCTCATGCAATTCTTGAATTCTTTGAGATTCATTCTTGGCACGATAGTATAGTTTCTTTAATTTCTCTATAATTTCTTCAGAAGGTTCATTAACTAACCAATCCTTGAGATTTTCTAACTCCTTTTTAACTGCTTGTTGTGACTCTAAATCGTCTTCCAGTTTTAAGGAATCCAAAGATCCTATTAAGGCTTGTAACAGATATTCTCTAGTGTACAAATTTTGCTGTGCGTCATTTTTAGACATGGGTTTCAATGTTTTCACATAATCCCCCTCTAAATGTTCTGTTTCGCATTCTTCATCTATTTCACTGCTATCCTTGTCTCCTTCATCCTTCTTCTCATGTTGATTAATTTCTATGGAAACAGATTCACTCAAAGATTTTGTGCTATTCGTACTTTCAATGGTAGTTTCTCTTTCTTCGCTATCCTTTATTTTTGGTGTGATCTGAAGCTGATGCAAAGCCTCTGGCTGTTTACTACTTTCTTCACAAGCAAATCGAACTTCCATTTTATGAGGTACAAAAATCTCTTCTGCTACTACATAACCAGATTCTTCTGTTTTTACTTCTATAACGGATTTCTCACTTGTATCATCACTGGTAATACTGCATGCGTCATCTGTTGCATCTGAGTTGGTGTCAGATTCTGAATTGATATCTGAATTGTCTACATTTACATTTCCATTAACCAATGTTTTTCGAGAAGGTGGTGGTAAAATATATTCTGTTACATTATCATTATTAGCCAATGAATCATCTAACTCTTCTTTTGAAAAGGAAATATCAGAATTCTTTAGTTGGTTTGAATCAATATCTTGAGAATTAATTTGATTATCCTGTTCTTCTTTTAAAGGACAAAAGCTAGATTCCATATCTATATCCATGTTATCCGCATGTATAGAATTTAATTTATTAAGAATAATATTAATGGCCTCGATAGGATTTTCTTCATCCTTTGACTCTTGCAAGTTGTCACTTGTAACTGATTTTGAATTCATATCTTGCAGAATCTGCATATAATTTCTGAGGGCAGTGATCTGTTTATAAATATTAACAGAATCTAATCTGGAATTACGTAACCTTGCTTGTAGATTCTTTTCAATTCTAGACTGATCTTCGAGTCTTTTTAACAGTTCTTGTTTCTCTTGTTCTACATTTTGTATCGTATCTTTCATTTTTTCTTCAGTCTCATTCAATTTGTTTGTGGTTTCTTGAAGTTTCTTCTGTGCGTCTGCATATTTTTTACTTAGCACCTGAAGTTCCGTTTGAGTATGCTTTCCTAGATTATGAAGGCTCTGACACTCTCCTTCTGTTTCATTTAAACGTTCTTGTAATTGAACAAACCTTTGAGATATCTCTAATTTCTCTTGCAATATTTTTTGTAATTCTTCCTTTGCTGCATTTTGATATAATGCCTTCTCTTCCAAAAGCTTGACTAACTTATTTCTGATTTTATCTTCTGTATAATTCTTAGAATAAACGCTCAATTGGTTTTCAATAGTCTCTACCCAGGACAACAGTCTGTCTTCTGCTATTAATGCTCGCCATGACTGATTGGCCACTTTTTGAGTATTTGTTACAAGTTGTTGAAGATATCCTAGCTTAGACTGCAGTGCTTTTTCTCGTCTCGAAGCCTCTTGCATTACTTGGTTCAACTTATACAAATCTTCAAGAGATACATTATTAACTGCTGATGTAATCGACGTATTAACGCTAGCTTCCTTTTCATCAGGTAAATATAATCTCAGTGTTGCAACTATACATCCATGCTTAAACTTTTTTGTACTTTCCATCACATCTACTCCAAATTGCACTATATCACCTGAATAAACCTCCTTAGGTGCCGATTCTAAACCGGCAGCACCGAGTCTATGGTTGTTAACGAATGTACCATTACTGCTGCGTGTATCTTGCAAGTAAAACTTTCCACTGGAATACCACAACAGCGCATGATTTCTAGATAATACTTTACAATCAAAGATTGCATTGTTGGGAGCAGCAGTAGCTTTTGCTACAGACCGGCCGATTTTTACAGGCTGCTCCAATGTCAATGTACGTTCCTGGAAAGGATGAGAATTCTCGCGACAGATTAAGACACCTTTGGCTGTCATTTTATTGTTCTGCGTGGCGTTTATATTCAGGTTGGAATTATTCTGACCGGTAGGAAAACTGGCATTTTGTACCCACCCACCACTGGCTACAACCATAGCCGATGGAAAATGCAATGAATTGCAAGTCTTTCCCAAAACAGTTCAACACATGTGTGGCGAGAAAAACAATATTAACTATTAACACACTGAAACGAAAGGTAAGTTTGAAAGTCGAGAGTCACTTCTATTTACTGTCATTGGACGTATGTTTAATGTCGTGTCGGTGTATCGCGAACAGTTTTATTGTTCACACCCGATTGGAAGAAATTCGACCACAGGGATCGTGTTTGGATCGTTCGAGGCGTAAGATACGTCGTGAATAGGCGTGACATACGAGTTCACATGTTTCCGCGATAGAGAAAAAAAAATTCTACTGCAACTTCAATGGTCTTCTAGTCTTCCTTTTACTATTTGTCATAAATCTGCTCGTTCGAACGACAGAGTTACACTGTACTCGTACATTAATCGACTCGAGAATGTTCGACTCGGCTCCGTAATCCGTCGGTTCTAATTTCCCACGGAATGTAATGAGAATGAATCTTCCGCACGCATTTCAGAACAGTAAAAAGATATGTTTCTCAGCGTAAGTAGCGGTGAGCGTACGCTTTCACACTTTCGTCCTTCGCACCAGTTCCCTTGCACTTTAAAGTCTTCGACGGTACGTTCGAGGAGATTCATTCGAGAACCATAATACACCTAATGCTGTGATCAACAATAGCCCGACACGATTAATCCAGCAATGTTGTGATCAACTGAACGGATCTAGACCAAAAATATTGTTCTCGAACTACTGCATTACTGTATCGAGATACAAGTGGTCCACGTTCCTGTAACTCAATGCTCTTCAGTTCCGCGTTTCGCTGTTTATCGACCGGCGGCAGTATAGTCATCTATATGAACACAACGGTGTAGCAAATTCAAACTACGTATACTTGGGCGTGCTACATCGCGATAAATATTCAGGTATAAACAGAAAAATGATAAACTATCGAAGACTGTCTCTTGAAATTACATTTATGCTCTTTCAAAAGAAGTTTAAAAGTAGGAATTACAATACTGATTACAGCGAGTGGCAACAATGATTCCGCTGTAATGCCAATGAACGAAAGAGGATAGAATTGAAAACTGTAATTTCTAAGCGAAATACATATCGCGATTGACTAATATTCTAATGTGGTTTCAAATATTCCTTTTTCATTATTTTCTTTCATGAAACGGAATGTACGTGCTATAAAAACATTCGTTTCTTTGTAGATATTAATGGACATTGTTTGTCGCATCGGTGAGCTCAGATAACTTGCAAAAGAGTGTAATAATACGGATATAAAAAAAGCAATCTCTTAGAAGTTACCTTGTCCCGAAGATACAGCATAAAAAAACTTTGCACGGCATACGTTGATTATATTTTTAATATTATTCATATTTCAGTAAATCTTGTATAATGAAATATACACTTTGTGAATGAAATGAACGCTTACCTATTTTCGACACACAAGTAGAAGTGAGATAGAAATTGAATTTCTCAATCCGTTATAACTTTAGAACTGACACGGTATGAAATATTTTATCCGTGGATCGAAATGAATCAATATCTTTTAACCGATAATTTATTACCATATGGGAATAAGTTTCTTTTTCTAATCGAGCCACGCGTAAACAAATACGATTGTTCTTATGGTTTAGAATTTCTAAATAGTATACGCATAATTGCAGAAATTATTAATATTTGTTAGCATAAGAACGAACAAATATTGAGATTAACCGTTAAATAAATATTATCAAAAATCAATATTTGAAATAGAAGTAATGAATGCTTTCGAATATTATAAAATGGTCTTATGTGAAAACATATGAAGGTCAATGTTTTTTGAGCGACTTACTTATACACAACAACGTCGAATATAACCTAAAAGGATATAGTATCGTGAATTTCATCGTTTGAACGTAGGTTGCACAACAACCTTATAACTTTTGTAAATAATAAACAAATACAAGGTTCGCCGAATTTAATTCGATTCTATCCATTCTTGCTTTCTTTTAATTACGTTCCTCTCGTACAGTAATATAAAATAACGGAATTCAACGGATGTGTTTGTGTGTACATTTACTTACTTAATATATCTTTAATAAATAGGTTAATTGGTACCTTTAATTCTATTTATATATCGTGCTATTATTAAATAATATACGTAATAACATAATTTCAACAGAAGTAAGAAAAAAAATTGAACAAAGATGTCAGATGATGACGATGATTACATGTCAGATAAATTTTTGCAAAATTCTGAGAAATCCAGTGCATCGAGTCTCTTATATCGACATGCGGATAAGAGAAAATTTGATTTGATAAAAAAAAAGAGTGAAATTGAAGCAAAGATAAAAGAAAAAAATTCTATAAAATATATGGAAGAAGAAAAGAGAGAAACAGGTTTATCTTCTGCTATTGCAAGTACTAACAAAGGTTTGTTTTCATGCTTATATTGTATGAATATTTATATATGCAACATATTATATTTTCCTATTATTTCAGGGTTTGAGTTGCTCATGAAAATGGGATATAAGCCAGGACAAGGAATAGGCAAAACAGAATCAGGAATAACTGAGCCCATTGGTCTTGAAATAAAATTAGACAGACACGGTTTAGGAAAAGGTATTAAGAGGAAACAAACAGAAAGTAAAAGTAATTTGGATGACAATAAACTAAATAACAAATGTATGAAGGACTTCCGTAGCAGAATTGCTCAGAAGAAAGCAGAACAATTATTCAAAGCAGACTTTCGTAAAAGTCAAAAGATTTGCGAACAGTTAGACAGGCAATCAAGTATAGAGAAACCTGTGGAAGCATGGTATTGGTTGCCACAAGAGACTGAAAGCAATACAGATGAAGAAGATGACAAAGAAGATGAAGAAGAAGAAGAACCTTGTGAAAGCAATGAGAGTTTAGAAATTCTTACTAAATACTTAAGGGAAAAGTATTTTTACTGTATTTGGTGTGGAGTGGCATTTAATAATGAAAACGACTTGGTAAACAATTGTCCTGGAAATACAAGGAACGATCACTAAATACAGGTGGTGACATATATATTTGTGAAAGGAATATAAGTAATAAAACAATGGACTAAAATTTTTACTACTATGTTTTTACTTACATTATTTACTGTAAACACCCTGCAAGAAAACATACAAGGTATAAAAGGCTAAAGCCCTAAGTAGCATTAGTCATATTTCTTTGATACGATCACCCACTGTGCATTGAAACATAAAAAACCCATTAGAGTCATGATGCAAAATACTGAAAAAGTAATGTCCCCAAGCTGGAAAAAATCCAATGCTACATAGTGTAAAAGCAGGGGAAAGTTATCCTGATTCTGCTATGCTATTATATCTTAGCAGGAGTTCAAGCACCCCCAGTTATTGTATGTTGGAGGGAAAGCTACCTATAAAAGCATCTGTTTGATTTTCTGTGCTTTCATTTGAGTTAAGATCTCTGACCACACCCGTCCTGCATTAGAAGGCAGTCAAGTAAAAAGAATATCGATTACAATAAGGCAGTTAAAATGTTCGAATTTTCAACAATTTTGTTATCAATTGTATTCATATTTATCAATGGCACAATTTCTCAAATGATAGATGATGAGAGCTGTGAAACATTACAGTCAGAAGTACATATTACAAAAGGTCTTTTGTTTTCATTTATTATAGCATTTACACTTAAATAAATAGGCTAAAGAAAATATGTTGCCCTTTTCAGATGAATATGATGAAATAGGACGTTTGAAAAGAACATGTAGTGGTGACATACCTGTCACAAAATGTGAAGGCTTTTGTACTTCACAAGTGCAACCAAGTGTTGCTAGTACTACAGGATTCTCAAAGGTAAATGAATAGTGACAGTA